AGGAATGAGGAGCAAAGATTTATCACAAGGCAGAAACAACAGCAGCAGATGTGGGAAGTATAGGGACAAATAATCCCAGAATTCCTGAATTCCTGGTGCTGGAAAAGCCCTCCCAGCCCAGGGAGTCCCGGCTGTGCTCGATGCCCACCTTGTCCCCAGCCCAGAGCCCTGAGTGCCACGTCCAGCCCTTCCTTGGGCACCTGCAGGGATGGGCACTGCAAAGCTCCCTGGGCAGCCCCTGCCAAGGCCTGAGCTCCCTTTCCATGGGCAAATTCCTGCTGCTGCCCACCCTGAGCCTCCCCTGGCCCAGCCTGAGGCCTGAGCTCTCCTCCTGTCCCTGTTCCCTGGCAGCAGAGCCCGACCCCCCCGGCTGTCCCCTCCTGCCAGGGACTTGTGCAGAGCCACAAGGGCCCCCTGAGCCTCCTTTGCTCCAGGCTCAGCCCCTTTCCCAGCTCCCTCAGCCCCTCCTGGGGCTCCAGACCCTTCCCAGCTCCATTACCTGCCCTGGACACGCTCCAGCCCCTCCAGGGCTCTCCTGCACCAGCCACAACTGGAGCCAGCCCTCGAGGGGCCTCTCAGAGCCAGCACAGAGGGACAATCCCTGCCGTGCTCCTGCTGGACACACAATTCCTCACCCAGCCCAGGGGCCAGTGGCCTCTTGCCCACCTGGGCACTCCTGGGCTCGTGTCCAGCCCCTGGCACCGGCACCCCCAGGGCTTTTCCCACTGGGGCACTTTCCCACACCATTCCTGCTCTCCAGGCACTCGGAGTGTTCCTGTCTGGCTCTCCAGCGCACTTTCTCCTTCTCCATTTCTGCTGATTCCAAGTGCTCGGGGCAGGGAACGGAGCTGGGAAGGGGCTGGAGCCCCAGGAGGGGCTGAGGGAGCTGGGCAAGGGGCTGAGCTTGGAGCAAAGGAGGCTCAGGGGGCCCTGGTGGCTCTGCACCTGTTCCCTGGCAGCAGAGCCGACAGCCGGGGGGGTCGGCTCTGCTGCCAGGGAACAGGGACAGGAGGAGAGCTCAGGCCTCAGGCTGGGCCAGGGGAGGCTCAGGGTGGATATTTGGAAACATTTCTTCCTGGAAAGAGTGGTAAAACATTGGAACAGGACGCCAAGGATTGTCATACAGTCCCATGCCTGGAAACGTTCAAAAAGCTTGAGGGTGTGGCACTTGATGATGGAGTTTGATAGTGAACATGCTGGTGGTGCTGGGGTCATGGTTGGATGTGACAAAATTTTTCGTCATTTCAGGGACTGGAATGACTCATGCCTTGAACACTGCTATGAAAAAGTTTTGCCCATTATAACAAAAAGAGTATAAAGAAGCTACAACCACAGAAGCTGCCCTGGAGACTTTGGCTGGAAGTTAAACCCCTAGAAACGCTGTGGTTCAATCATCACAGCCTAGGGAGAAACAAACAGGACTGAGGGAGAGGAACGCCTCCACAAAAGAGCCAAATGCAGCAGAGATCCTTCCCTGGCTGGGTTTGGGGTGTGGAGACCTCAGCCCACAGTGGCCAGCTTTCCAGAGCCTCGCCCCGAAACGAGGAGGCTGTGGGTGAGGTTTTGGGTGCAAGCTCTAGTCAGAGGCACTGAACACCCATCCTGCCTTGCCCCAACCCCACAGGCCACATCCACGGGACATTCACAAGAGGGACACCTCAGGGGGTGTCAGAACCCATCAAAGACCCCCCAAAGTGCCCCTCAGAGTCATTCCTGAAGCCTTGCACGGGATCCAAAGATCTGGAGTCTGCTGCAAGAGACAGCCCTGGACATTCCCACCTGGCCCGAGCTATAATAACCCATGGGATTCTGTGCTTCTGTGGGACCATCACCACCAAGAGCAGCTGGAGAGGATCAGCAGAACATGGTTGGGATCTCTGGACTGGTGGTATTTCTTTATTCCGTCCCTGTTGCTCTCTTGCTGTCCTTTCCCCACCACCTATTCTCCATCTCTTTATTTTCTCTCATATTTACTGTCAAATAAAACCCTCCTATTCCACTGGCATATGGTCTCGTTTGCACCTTGATTCAGGCAGAGGCATTTTTATAACTTTAATAACTGGATCTTGACAGAGTCTAAAGGTCTTTTCCCACCTTGGTGATTCTGGGATTCTCTTCTTTGACCCCAATGAATCAAGGGTCTAAAAGAATGAAAGGGTTAAGAGCCTAGCTAGGGGAGAGAAGCAATATATATAATGATGAAGGATTTAGAAGAGTTAGTTATTAGCAGGTGGAGCTAGTGAGAGCTAAGACAATAAATCACTTGCTTGACTTTGTTGTGTCAGGATGGGAGGATGAGGTATTGTCAAGATGAAGAAACCGTGACCAAAAGCAGCCAGAAGCAGGGTGGGGAGTGTGGGCTGTGACCAGAGAGCCTCCCAGCAGGACAAAGATAAAACATTTAACATGAGGAAGACATTCCTGACTTCATCTTAGGAGACTACCAACCCATTTTGAAACCCACCGACCCATTTGGAGGAAGGAATTGCATGTAGATGGAAAGATATTAAACTCATTTTAATGCAAAGTGGGGTAGATGGGGTTAGATAATGCACATGTATAGATGTATTGAATTAATATGTAAATTTTTGTGGATAAAAAGAGGGCAAGAGCCCCATGGATTTTGCGTGTGCCTGTGGGAGACTACTCCCAGTGTTGTAATTAACGTATCACTTTGTAACTTTAATTAGTTGGAGAGTCTTTGTCCACACATCACCAGCAGCCAAGGCTGGCTCCTGGGGAGAGCAGGATGACCCTGGAGGAGCATCTGGGAGTTTTGTCTGGCACTCCCTGATCTCATCCCTGTGCCAGAACAAGGACGTTTGTCCCAGAAATTGCTGCCCCAGCTCCTGCTGGCCCCTTCCCCAGCCACATCCTGTTCCTTCTCACAGTATCCTCACCAGCAGCCCTCGGGTGGCTCCACAGCCAGCGGTGTTTGGCACATCCACAATCCCTCACACGGCGTTCCAGGGGAGGCCCTGGATACAGGGAAGGGTGAAATGTGAGCAGCAGCTTTCCCACAGTCCTTTAAACCCCACTCCTCCAGCCTCAGCTGTTAAAGCTCGTGGCACAGGAGTTTTCTTCCCTCTGGATGAAAAGCAGCACTTCCAGGGCATTCCCTTGGATATGTGAAAACGTTCAGGCTGGAGTCGTGCAGCAGCAGCAGCTCCTGATTTCCTGGGAAGCCTCTCCCTGCATCCAGGGTCAACCCATGATCTCTCCAGCAGCAGCTGCCTCCACATGCTCCATGATGTTCCATCTTCCAGACACAACTCCCCAAAGCTTGTCCCAAGCAGTGACAGGGATCTCAGTGTGGGAATTCCAGGGGTGTAAAACCAGGGATACAGGAAGTGGAGCAGCAGGGCTGTGGGATGAGAGGGGAAGAGAGGCAGCAGCAAGCACAGCCTCTCCCAAGGCAGGGGCCAGCAGTGACCACATCACAGCCCTCATCCTGAAATGGGATTTTTCAGCAGGAATTTCCCCAAGGAAAGGGAGCTCAGGCCTTGGCAGGGGCTGCCCAGGGAGCTTTGCAGTGCCCATCCCTGCAGGTGCCCAAGGAAGGGCTGGACGTGGCACTCAGGGCTCTGGGCTGGGGACAAGGTGGGCATAGGGCACAGCTGGGACCTGATGACCTTGGAGATTTTTTTCCAACCTCAATTTCTCCATGATTGAGTTTGGGAACTTCTCCAGAGTCAGATAAAAATTACAGTTGGTGAGTGAGCAGTGTAGGCAGGTTGAAAAATAAGAACTGCATTTGAAAAGGCATTGCAAAATAACATTTAATATTATTAGAAGAATTACATTCATGTACGGTATGGGATACACAACCATCACTTAATGCTCTACACTTCAAGTCCTGCTGCTCTTCAGCAGTTTACCTCCTGATTTTTTCTTTCAGGAAAACGAAATCCTTTGGAATATTTCCAAGCCTGTCTCTTTGCACTGTGGCTCTGCTGTATGGGAGCTGAAGTATCCAAAAGATAAAGCTGAGCTTGGTTAGACTGAAAAGCAAAAACACAGCAAAGCAAAAGCATTTCCTCTCCTGGAAAAGGAGAGAAAGTCTGGAATTCCAGGCAAAAACATTTCCAGATTCATGGGCAGTGAGGTTGTTCTGCTTTGGCAGGAGCAGCTTAGAGCAGGACAGCCCTGCTGTGCTTCCTTGGTGGATTCAGCAGTAGGAGCATAAGGAGAATACAACCACAGTTAGTCCCACATGGAAAAGTAATAAAGTTATGGAAGAAAGGAATAAAATATTCCCCTTTGGGCCCATGGACCTGTGCCCCTCCACCTCTCAAGCAGGACTTTTAGTTAAAGCCCTTTCTTCCTTTTTCACATTCTTTATAATTACAAAAGGTCTGCTTGGATATTTAACATTAAAGAACTTTTTCTTTTGAAGTGGAAGGATTCTGCAAGTCCCTTAAATGTTTGAGGCCACTGAAAGCAGCTTAATGGCAAAAAGTTGTCTTAGATTTTAGCAGCCATTTGATAGAATCATGGAATAACAGAATCCTGGGATGGTTTGGGTTGGAAAGGACCTTAAATCCCACCCAATCCCAGCCCTGCCATGGCAGGGCCACCTCCCACTGTCCCAGGAGCTCCCAATGTCCAGCCTGGCCTTGGGCACTGCCAGGGATCCAGGGGCAGCCCCAGCTGCTCTGGCAATTCCATCCCAGCCCCTGCCCACCCTGCCAGGGAACAATTCCTGCCCAACATCCCATCAAATCCTACTCTCCTTTATCAGCATTTTAAGGGAAATATCCAAGTATGGAATTCAACCAGCAGGAAACTGAAAATACAAGTACCAAACCATCCTGAGTGTTCAGCTTATCCATAAAAATTATTGAAGATAGGTAGGAAATGAACACCAACATTTTAAAAGTGGCCTGCTCCAATATTCAAGTAACACTTTCAAAGGGTAACTTTTCACTTGTGCTCATTCCAACAGCATTAGAGACCATTAATAAATTATATTAATAGAAATAATTCACATTCTCAATGACCACACCTCAGCCCACCACTTTCCTCCACTGTGAAAATGCAGAGGATTTAAAGAAGTTTAGCACAATCCTATTGTATTATTTTTTTGCAGTATTCCAGTAGGAGAGGAAAGGATGTTCCATTATTTTAATTTATAAACCCAAGATGAAAAATCTCGTCCATCTGTACCTAAAAGCCACTGCAGAAAAGCCTCCTGTGTTTGTTATGGGAGCTTGAGAGAAAGAAACCCCTCACTCCCAACCAAACATTTCCCATTTTAATTTTCCCTTTTTAATTTAGAAAAAGCACTGGGATGATCTCCCTACCTCTCTCACCATCCAGGAATGACCAAATACATTCTTTTGTACAAAAAAATGTTCTTAAAAAAAAAAAAAAAAAGAATATTATTTTCATTTTAGTTAAGCAGTTTCTATTTTTACAGCATTATCTTCATTTAGTTGCATTTCAGAAGCTGCAGCCACCTGAGTCACTGAAAGAATGGAAGTTTTTAATTTAAAAAATAGGAATTTAAATATTTTAATCGATTAATTAAAATCAAACCCCGCTCAAGTAATGCTAATTACAAAATGTTCCTACACAGGTTTGTGTTTTATGCACACTTCTGATTCATTAGGAATTGCTAAGCCTGAAGATTCTGTTCTAGCACAGAGCTGAAATTACAGCCAGGGCAAAGCTGCAGCTCTTTGCACGATGCTGAGACTTAGGAAATCCATCTGTGAGGAATTTGGGGGATTTGTTCAGAATTTGATCAATTTAGGCCAAATTAAAGGGCTTTCACCTCAGGAAACGACTCACTGCAAACTGATTGTACACTGACATGCAATATTGGATTTTCCTTCAACTTTCCTTCAGGACACAGCTCCAAAATCACTTTCAAGTACTGGAGAAGTCCCAGAGCAGTTGCTGCTTCCACCAAGTCCAAAATATTCTTCCCTTATTTACAAAATGTCTTTAATCCTTCCCACGGAAAACAAATAAAACACAGGAACTCGGAGAAATTCCCACCAAACTGCCCTTTTTTCCCACCACAGGAACTGGACATTCCTGCTTTTTACCACCAGCTCCTGAATAATTTGAAGAGCACTCTGCAACAGCAAGGAGAAATCCCAAAATGTAGCTGGAAATCTTGGGGGGAAAAGAAGGAATTTCAGCCAGGCTTTCCCTGTGTTTGCTGTTGATCCAGCAGGAGTGTCCCAGGTGAGGTTCAGCTTTCCATATTTTCCAGGAAATCCCATTCCACGCTGTCCTCCAGCTGCTGCAGGATCCTGATGCTGTTGCTGCTGAGAGAATCCATGGAAGCAGCTGCAGAGGGCTGGGAATTTTGGGAGTCAGTGCCACGGGCTGTGAATGCCCAGCACAGAGTCTGGAAGAAAGGCATCAGCTGGGTGATGCTGGACACAGAGTGCAGCGTCAGCAGGGGGAATTTGGGATTCCTGGGAATTCCCTCGGGGTGCTTTGGCTCCTGAAAATTAAAAAAAAAAAAAAGAGGCTGGGATTTACTAAAGGTAAAGGCTGGAAAGGACCTTAAAGATCATCCAGCTCATCCATGAGCTCTTCCACTGTCCCAGGCTGCTCCAAGCCCTGTCCAACCTGGCTTTGGACATTCCCAGGATCCAGAGGCAGCCACAGCTGCTCTGGGCAGCCTTTTCCTCTTCCTCACAGGGAGTATCTAAAAATCCCTTGAGTAACTTAAAATCTTGTGTTTGGAAAAGTAGATTAATGGATTAAAGAAAAATAAAAGTTTTTTTACCCCATATTTCATCTTGAGCAGATCCATGATCCTCACGATGTGTGGTTGGCATTCCTGGTGGTTTTCCACCAGGTGAGAGGTGGCAGGAGATGATTCTGTGTCCACCTCTGGCACAAAGGCCCATTTGTACCTGGAATAAATGGATTGATTCCTCAAAAAGATGGAAATCCTTTGTTTGGATCATGCCTAGTTCAGTGCAGCACTGGTTGTTTCTATAAAAATCTGTCATAAATGTTCTCTTTTGCTATTATTTGTCAATATTTAAATACAACTAGCTCCAAAACATTCCCAAGTGTGTGCAGATGGAAAACAATCCCCACCTTTCTCCTCTCCCAATTTTCCAAGTTAAGGAATCCCTTGAAGAGGATGCTGAAATCCTCCTACAGCAAGACCAAATAATTCCTCCAAATCCCATTTATCTGAATATCACCACTCCTGAAAGGAACTGACGAGAGGCAAAATGCAAACTTGAGGAAAGCAGAATTCTTTTCAAGGATAAGGGAACAAGAGAAGAAGAGGGACTCACATTTGGAAGAGCTGCATCCTGTCAGGGGGGAAGGAAAGAGCAGTGTCCAGGAATTTGCAGGCTGCCAGGTACAGGCACAGCTCGCTGGGCTGGATCTCAGCCCCACTGCCATCCCCAGAGCCTTTGGCTTTGCTGATTTTGCTGTTGTTCCTGTGTTTAAATTAAAAAAAATTCCCATTTATTTAATTTTTTTTAAAAAAATATTTAAGTAATTAAAAATAAAAGTTATTAAAAATAATTTAAATTTAACAATAAATAATATTTAGTTTAATAATAAATAATATTTTTTTTTAAAAGTCCCCCAGTCTCTAATCCACCCAAAGTTTTTCAGTCAGCACAAGAGGAACCCTCACATTTACACAAAGGAACTCTTGTATGAGTGTTTTCATTTTGTTTTAGGAAGGAGCAAAATAATCTAAAATACACCCAAAAATGGCACCACGTTAAAATATTCAATTGCCAACTTAGCATTTAATTTTATTTTTGTACACAACTAATAATGAATAATATTTTTAAGCATATCACCACTGCTGGAAAAAATGCTAAGTTATGATTTATTAGTACTTTAAATTTTAAATAACTAAATTATGATTTATTAGTATTTTATATTACAAATTATATTAATTTATATTAATATTTAAGTATATTTAAATATATTTCTATATTTTATATTATTTATATTTAATTATATTAATTATATTTATGTTAATATATTAATATATTATGTTAATATATTATTTTTATATTTATTTACATTATTAGTATTTATATTATTTATAATTTATATTATAAATTATAAATTATATTTTATTAGTATTTTATAGAAATATAAAAGTGCAATAGCACTGTTGGCTCCTCCATATCCCAGAGAAACAATTAATTAATTTCAAGGAAATCTCTCAAACTCTCCTCCCTATCCCAGAGAGTTAATTAAATTAATTAATTTTAAAGAACTCTCTCAAATGACAACTCTTACTTTGCTGGTTCCTCTTCCTCAGTTAAATCTTCCTCCAGCTGTAGAAATGTCTGGATCTTTAAAGAAATAATTATGGAGATGCTGAAATGTTCATCCAACTCAATCCCAACTAAAAGTGATGAAAAGGAACCTTCATGACTCGTAACAAATTAATAATTCAGGCAAGAGATTCCATTGACACCACCAAAATTAATCCAAAAGGAATTTCCTAATGATAATTTAACTTTTTCCCCCATAAACAATCAGATGAATGTAAAACTGTGGAAACATTTCCAAGCAGGGAAGAGGAAAAAGGGAAAAATCACAGGCTGATTTTTTTTTCAAGTCTAAGTTCAGAACTGCTTTTTTTACCAGTTCTGTGACCATGATTGGCCACAAGGAGGTGAGATGCTGTGGGGAAATCCTCAGCAAAAGAACTCTGAAGAAGAGAAACATCTGAGCAGCCACCAGAGAAGTCTGGCCCACACGGAGGTTCTCGGTCAGGCGTTCTGGAGGAAGCATAAAAAAGGGAAAAAGCAAAATAAAAACAGCATTTTCCTGAATTTGTGTTGTTTTGGGAATTAAAGTGTGGAATCATGGAATGGTTTGGGTTGGGAGGGATTTTAAGGATCATCCCATTCCCAGCCCTGCCATGGCAGGGCCACCCCCCACTGTCCCAGCTGCTCCCAATGTCCAGCCTGGCCCTGGGCACTGCCAGGGATCCAGGGGCAGCCCCAGCTGCTCTGGCAATTCCATCCCAGCCCCTGCCCACCCTGCCAGGGAACAATTCCTGCCCAAGATCCCATCAAACCCTTCCTTGTTCAGTTTAAGGCCATTCCCCTTCTCCTGTCGCTCCAGCCCCTGTGAAAGGTCCCTCTCCACTTTGCAGAAGGTGGCAAAACACAATTTTTACTTCATCATCGGTTTTGGGCTGAATTCCTCACATTGTATTAACGAAATTGTAATTCAGATGTAGCCTGAGTGGGTTTATAGGGCACAAAATGTGATCAAAAGTGGAATTTAAAGAGAACAACAACAGGTTGCCATGAAATAACCACATTTCCAGAGCAAAGGCTGTGAAACCAAGATTCCTGTCTTTCCTGGCTGAGATAATTTATCTGCTGTAATTGAGAGATTCATAAATTCTGTTCAAAATGAAAAAAAATACAGAAGCATTTGTTGGAAAAGAGGTGAGTTTGCTTTCCTACAGAATTTATATCATGGAATGGTTTGTCTTGGGAGAGACAATAAAGATCAGCCAGGTCAGTGGGCTGGGACCAGGCTGCTCCAAGCCCCATCCTGTTGGAATCTGGGATAGAGTGTGTGCCCTTGTTTCTGATACCTAGCTCTAATATCCAGAAAAACACTGAATTTCATACAACATGAAATTCATGAGCATGTTTGCATGGTGATACATGAAAACAACTGTTAAAGTTAGACAGAAAAGCTAAAAGTGTGAGTGTGTAGATTAGAAAATTTTCTTAAATCACTGGGTGAAAAAGTTAAAGTTTAGAGAACAAGAGACAAGATGGAGGATTTAGGGTGTTGTCTCTTGTCCTTTTTCTTTCTTCTTCATGTTCTTCTCCTAGAAGTTTTTGGGTAATAGTGAGTGATTGGACAGAAAATGTCACAGTGCAGCACACAGGTGATGGGTCATTGGGTCATTAAGAAAAATAATATACATGTCTAATATTGGTTGTTTCTATAAAAATCTGTCATAAATGTTCTCTTTTGCTATTATTTGTCAATATTTAAATACAACTAGCTCCAAATCATTCCCAAGTGTGTGCAGATGAAAAACAATCCCCACCTTTCTCCTCTCCCAATTTTCCAAGTTAAGGAATCCCCTGAAGAGGATGCTGAAATCCTCCTACAGCAAGACCAAATAATTCCTCCAAATCCCATTTATCTGAATATTAAATAATTCTAATTCTAATTAGTTGAATTCTAATAATTCAACTAATAAATAATATTGTTATATGTAACAATATAACAATATATTGTTAATTGAGTAAAAATAGGTATAAAGATAAAAGAACTGTATACTTTGGGGGCATTTTGTGCATCAGACACAAGGTGAGCCACAAGGCCTTGTTTGTACCATCAGAAGAAAGCAATGTACCAGATTACAAAGATTAACCTTGTGCAGCCAGCCTAGAAAAACCTGTCAAGTTTTGTGATGACCTTTTAATAAACACAAGAAACAAGATTCTAATGAGCTCGAGAGTTTTCTTCAAATCATAAGAACTGAGATAAGCAGGGCTCCCCACAAGGGAGGATCCCAAAAAAATTCAGTCCAAAGGAAGCTGAGAAATCCAGGAAGAAAAAGAAAAATACAAAAGAAATGAATCAGAATCAGAGAAACAGAAAAAGGATTTTTTTTAAAAAAGTTACACATCCAAGCTGGCTTTGGAGACTTCCAGGGATGCAGGGGCAGCCCCAGCTGCTCTGGAACAAAGGGATTTGTGTTCCAGCTGAAGGGAAGGGATGGAGCCTCACCTTGGATCAGGGGCAGGTACAGGTGGTACTGGTCGATCTCCCCGCTGAAGACGGCGAAGGCCTGGCGCTTCAGCAGCATGGCCTTCTGCTCAAAGCTGGGGTACAGCTTCAGGGCACTGCTCTGCATGGCTGCAACACACAGCACAATCATCCACCCCACCACAGCTGCCTGCCTCGGGGGCTGCACAGAATCCCTGAAATCCTCCACAATAAAATCTCTCTGCCTCGCCGAGCGGGAATTTGTCTTGCGTAAGAAAATTTGTCTGGTGTTGTAACTGTTCAATTATTCTTTTAGAGAGGCTGGAAAAGAGACTAAAGCTGCTTGAGGTCAATTTAAGGGGTCCTGTCCCACCCTTTTCCCCAGGATTTGTTCTTCCATGCTCTCCTCAAGCCTGGATTAGAGGTCACAGCACATTGATGGAAGGTTTGCTGCGCTGCTCATGGCAAACACCTGCAGAGTTTGCCAAATTCTCTCTTGCACAACTCAAAATTAGAGCAAAATGTGAATGTGGGAACCCAACAGGAGCACCTCTACAGCAAAACCTCTGGTGTGTTTTGGACGTGACCAAAATCCAGATTTAACTCAGCTCTAGCTGGGAATGAAGCTAATAAAATGGTTAATTATGCACAGTCTGCACTTTATGGATAAATCAGTGTAATAAAAATGCACCCAAATGGCTCAAATGCAAATAGATTTCAAATTGAGGTAGAAATAAATGATCAGCAGCTGATACTTACTCATCAAATCCTTAAACATGGTTTTCTCATGTGTGAGGAGATGATCAATGATGGATCTCCAGCTGCAGGAGAGAAAGAAGGAATTAGATATCCAGGGAAAGCTGTGGTGTGGATTCACCTCAGAAATCATCTGGGTCAAACTTTTCATGCAAGGAAACAGTTTCCAGGCAGGATTTGTGTGCAGACTCTTGTCTGGAGCAGAATTAGTGGACAGACTCATTTTTAACATGATCCCATTCCATAAGAAAACACTACATGGAATTTTCTTCCCAATGTTACTCTTCTCCTTTAAAGCCCTTCCTTGCAAATTCAGAACACAATTTCAGCACTTGGAGTGCTGCAGTTCCATGTCTTACTGAGTGCAGGAAGTGTCCATCTGGAAAAAAGATGGATCCATGTACAATTCCAGGACTTCTTTTTTCCAGGCTCTCTTGGTGTAGGCGTATCCACTCAGGGAGCTGAGCAGCTGAGCACCAGCACGGAAACTGGGAATGTTGTAGGCACTGGGAGAGAGGACAAAAATGATCATTATGGGCTTTTTTGAAGTTCAAGAATAGATTCCAACTCACAAATGGATTGGTTTGAATTCCTTTAGGAAGGAATTGTTCCCTGGCAGGGTGGGCAGGGGCTGGGATGGAATTGCCAGAGCAGCTGGGGCTGCCCCTGGATCCCTGGCAGTGCCCAAGGCCAGGCTGGACATTGGGAGCAGCTGGAACAGTGGGAGGGGTCCCTGCCATGGCAGGGCTGGGAATGGGTGGGATTTAAGTGCCTTTCCAACTCAAACCATTCCAGGATTCCATGCCCTGTGTCTCCAATGGATATCATCCATTTCTCCCACATTTGTGAGACAAACTGGGAAGGGGATAGGGAGAGATGATGCTTTTCCTGCTTCCTGGTGGATCCTGGGACTTGCCCATGCTCTACTGCCCCATCCCCATTCCCAGATGGGCACAGAAAGGGGAGATTTGAGTAAAACCCAAAATCCCAGGTGAGGGAATCCCCACAGCTGAGCAGAAAGTGCTGTCACAGAACTGACACAACAACAGGTTCAGCTCCTGGGGAAACACTGCTCAAACACAGCTCAAACCCATTCAAATGGGAACAGAGAATGGACAAACAAGGGAATACAAAAACCCAAAAGATCAGACAGGGAAAAATGCCAGGAGCAGAGAGAGACTCACCTGTGGTTCCGCAGGTAGGGGAAAACAAAATAGAGCAGGCGGGAGATGAGGGGCACGGCCTTCTCCTTCTCATCACTGCGGTACACCACGTCCAGCAGCGAGGCCAGAACCTGCACAATGCACAGGAGAACCCTTCAGAGCCACAGCTGGCACTGCTGGAAAAGGGGAAAGCCTGCCATGTTTCAGGCTGGAACAATGGAATAGCCCCCAAAAGATTTGCACTCCTGTTTAATCTGCCAGGAATCAGCTTAATGACCCCAATAACCCCAGGGATGAGAGGCCCCACTGACCTCTGCAAGGAGAGAAAGGGCTTGGACGCTGTAGATTGAAGGAGCAGAGGCAGAAACCATTGAAGATGGTGCCACTGATGTATCTAAAAGAGGCAAAACAATCGAGTTTTCTCTTCAGACAGGTTTAAATGTTGCTGATTCCCAACTTGCTGCCCAACCAGAACATTTATTTGCAAACTGGTGTTACACTAAAATATAAAATCATGCAAAGCACACATCACCAGACCCCTTGTGCTCTTCACTGCCTTCAGCAGAGGAGAGGGGGCAGCAGGAGGCAGGGAAAGCCACGTTACCATTGACATCCTCCACGTTGAATTCATCTGGTAAAATCTGAGGCTGAGCTTTCACTTCCAAGTTCCTGCTCAGCCAACTGGTCTGTTCCAGGGAAGAACCAGCAATGGTCCCCACAGCCTCCAGGATCTTTTGGGTCACCTCCTGTAATGTAACCAAAGTGGCATCAGGTATTTAATTGGCAATTTTTAATTCCCAGGGAAATGAGCTGCAATGAAACCAAACCACATCCAGCCAAAGCAAAGCAAAGGCTGTAAAATGTAAAAATTTTCTGGCATTGCTGGCATTTTGCTGGCAGGACTCTGAGGCAGAAAGGGGAGATTGAATTTCTCTGTTGGCACATCAAAGTCCTGTAAGCACAACCCAAAACCACCCAGGTAAGCCGTGGTCAAAGTGTCCTGGTGAAATAAGGCACTACAGGAGGAGAATCTTGCTCTGCTCCTTTCTTTACACAGCTGAGGTCAGCATCATTCCCATTGCCAAACCCAGCTGGGAGCTCCAAGTGTTAATTCATTTTCCTAGACAGCTTGGAGATTTCAGTATTCACACACAGGATGTGAACTCATGACATCCCACTCGTGTCCTGAGCTCAGTTCTGAGAAAAACCCTAATAGTGCACAAAAAAAACAGCTTTGGAAAGATTTCAAGCATTTGGGATAAAATTCTGTTTGTTTGTCATGTTTGAGTCTCCCCTGTTCAGCCAAAATGTGTGGATGCACATCCAAGCATTCCCAAAAGCCCAGGAATTCAGATCCAAAGGACAGGTCACTTTTCCTTGAGCAGTGCCAGGTTTAGGCACAAAAAGGTGAATTTGAAGCCACTGTACCTGCAGGTCTTTCTGATCCTTTTTGTTTTCCAGGGTGGGTGTCCTTGTCACAAAGTCATTCAGGGTGCTGTGGGCAGAGCAGAGCACTCCCAGTCAGGAACTGCACAGTGTAAAACCTCAGTGACACCTCTCCTGTCCCATGCAGTACCTGAGGAGAAGGAAGTGGCCAGGAGGAGCCAAGTTCAGCTGCACAGACTCTCTGAGGAGCCCTAACAAGGGCTGGAAGTTCTCCTGCAGGGCTGGGACAGGGAGTCTGCCAAAAAAATATAAAACCAAAGCACACCTGAGTGAAGGCAGAGTTAAGAAAAGAACAAAAAACAACAGGTAGGAGGAACTCGGTGGCTTAAAAGCTTCAGGATCAGTCCTGCCCTTCCTGACTGTCAGTGTCACCTCCCCTTCCAGTGTCACAGCCCTGGCACTCTGTCTGTGTGTCAACAACCAAGGGACAACACATTTCCTGCAGAGAAGTGTTCTGGGACAGGGAGATCAAAGGAAAGCAGAAATGGCAATACTGGCTGTTCCCTCATTGGAGTCAAGCAGGAAATTCTGTTTTAGAAGGACTGAGTTACCTCTGAATGAAAGCATAACTGAACTGCAGCACTGGGATATCCACGAGAGAAGATTTCTGGAAAAGAAAAGCAAACCCACAATTATTTGCCATCAGAAGGGAAAAAAAAAATGCAAGCTGGCCTTGGATACTTCCAAGGGATGCAGGGGCAGGCACAGCTTCTCTGGGAATTCCATCCCAGCCCCTTCTCACCCTCACAGGGAAGGATTTATTCCCAAAATCTCAGCTAACCCTGCTCTCTGATAGTTTAAAACCACTCCCCTTGTCCCATCACCATCTGCCTGATATATTTTAAAGAATCTACTTATTGTGGATCAAACACAACCTGGATACCAAAACTTCTTCAGGAGCAAAGGACAATCCCACATTTAAAAGAAAACCCTTCTAACAATGCTTCAAAGACACAAGGAAACAGATCCAGGCTGGAATACATTAAGAAAATGGAATTATCTTCCTGCTTACCTCTTCCCCCTTGATTTGTGCTGGTTTCTTGACCACCTCTTTGACCAGATTTAATATGGTGTCAATTTTCAGTGTGTTCAGGGCACAAATTAAGTCCACGAGAATGAGCTGGGATGCACTGGCCACTGGGAGAATCTGACAAAAGCAAACAAAACCAAAGACACACCCCTCAAAATTATATGGAAATAACAGAGATCATTTACATTACATCAATCAAACACAGCCCTTGCCATGAGAAGATCTTCTCCCAACACTTGATGAAAACAACTGGATTCTACAGCAGGAAAGGAAAAGTTGTCTGTGTTCCAGAGAACACAGCTCTCATTTTCTCTAGAAACTGATTCATGGGCTTTAAAATATAATTGTCCAACTGGAATCCAGTATGGAATAAAAAACAGCTTTTACTCTCAGATTTAAAACCACGATGTGGGTTTTATTTGATTATTTATTGAGGTTTAATTGTAGTCCTGATGTTTTTTTTTAAAGAGGAATTCAGATTTTTCAGTCCTATTTCAAAAACCCCAAAGAATCTACAGAGTTTGTAGGGAACTGACTGTATAAATGTAACATTTGCCTTTACAGAGGAAATAAAAGAGTGCCTTTCTTTAGCTTCACCTTGGTTTTATTGTGACTCCTGTGAGGTTTTTTGCTGTTCCACACTGCTGCAATTGCTGCCATCAGCTGGACCCCAAGTTGTGCTGTCAAGGGATTCAGGAAGTCCAATATTTTTGTTCTCAGTGTCTGTAAAGGGATGGGGAAATAATTATCAATCTAAGGCAAAGACCATCTCCTAGTTTATAAAATATTATTTATTTTCGCAGGATATACAGAAAATACACAACAATAAAAGAACTCCATGTAAAATGCATTGGGGAGGATGAGGAGATCAAAAAAATCAGCATTTTAAAAGGGCTCCTACTTTGGTTGCTTTAAAGTAGACTGAAGAAGAGCCTTTAGTTGTCCCAAAGAAGTCAGTTGGTCTCTTTTGGGAGTCTTCCCTCTTTATGACGCTCCAGAGGAGGCTCATGGTGTTCATAATTCGAGGCAGCTCCTCCAGGATGGCATTCCTGGCATTCCTCAGGTTGGCAGGTTCAGCTGAACAGGATGACTGGGGAAAAAAAACCCAAAATACCAATGTTAAAATAATTTCTTATGCACAAGAGCCTAAAAATGGTAGGGAACACATCAAAACATGGTCAACTCAAAGGAAAATAAACGAGTTAAGGACAGAGGACTGCTATTTGCATCACCAAGATCTTCATGAACAATGACTTAAAATTCACTTTTCAGGCTTCAAATATGGAAAAATTAAGCTCAGTCCTTTCCCTTTGAGTCAGTTCAGTTGTCTGGGTGTGCTGTGAGGCCTCTCTAAGGTTATTTTCTTGTACAATTCACTGTTTATATTCACCTGGAAGGTCACAGGGGGTTCCCACGTACCTTTTTGGTTGGATTGGGATGATCCAGAAGGCAGAAGTGCCCGATGGTTGTCAGCCCTTCCAGAAGGGTCAGGGGGTAATCAGGAGTCACATTTTCTCTTTTAGAAGTGAAGCTTTGGAAAGGGAAAAAAACCCAAACATGTTAATAAGCCAAGTGGTATTTCCTCAATTAAAAATTCCTGGTTTTACTCCATAGCTAAAATTGGTGAGAATATCAGGAATATCAGGTCAAATATCAACATCAAAATGAAAGGAGCCATAAAACTGGGAGCTTTTATACTTGGATGGAAGGCAGAGGGAGCCAGGAAACAGCACAGCTGCTGCTCCTCTTTCCTCTTGTCCTCCAGCTGCTGCAACAATCCTGTCTCCAGCTCCCTCCAGGGCCAGGTGCAGCAGGAATTAAGGATCAAACTCTGGGAGCCACCCAGGTGCTGACCCAGGGAGTTCCTACACACTGTGGAAAGTGGAATTTTTGGGATAAGAAAACCCTCCCTGGCTGTCTCTTACCTGGCAGATGTTTTGGCAGACGTCTTCACAGCTTCATTTTCATACTGCTTGACAAGCTCATCCAGGTTTTTGCAGATCTGCACCACAAACGGGGCCACGGTCCAGCCTAAGGACTTCCCAAAATAGGGCAGGGAACTGGTGACCAAGCCCACCCAAGCGGGATGCATGCCATGGCCGTACTCGGGCTGCAGCCCCCTGACCACGGCAGAGACAAACAGCCCCTGGGAAGTGATGGGATGTGGGTACACGTACTGCATGGCCCCGATGGCCTGCTGGAAGTTCACAGCCTGCTGCCACTCCTTGGAGAGGTCTGGCTGGTTCTCCTGCTCCTCAGGCCTCTGGCCCAGGTGGTGCTCCAAGACAATCAACACCTGCAGCAGCTTCAGCAGCTCAATCTGCAGCGGGTGCTCGCTCCAGATCTGGTCGTGGCCGAAATTGATGAGGTTCTCCTCGAAGAGCTCCTCCTCAGCGCCGCGGCCGGGCCCGTCGGCCACGAGCAGCCGGTAGCGTTTGCGGCTGACGTACATGGAGGCCGAGAGCGAGAGCAGCACGAACTCCTGCACTTTGCACCTTCCCAGCAAATCCCGGATGAACTCCACGCTCTTGGGCTCGGCCGCCTTGGCCGTGGCGGCCAGCTGGGCCATCATCCTGATGAGCACCTCCACGCTCTTCACCTGCACGTCCCTGTTGGCCAGCAGGTCCCTGTGGCCCAGCTGCAGGCGGCAGGGGTAGTAGGAGCGCAGGAAGCTCAGGCACAGGTAGGTGAGCAGCTCGATCAGCAGGGAGTGGGGACACACCGTGGGAGACTGAGGCTGCAGCTTCCCATAAAAGCTCTGCCCTACCAGAGCTTCCTGGTGGCGAGCCAAGAGGTTGTAGATGAGGTTCAGGTGCGCCGTGGAGCTGGTATCCATGCTGGTGGTGGCCACGGCCTCGATGAATTCCTTGGGGTTGGTTTTCAGCACGGCCTCCAGCACGGAGAAGGCGTAGAGCACCCGCCGGGAGTCGTAGGGCTGCAAGTACAGCAGCATGTGCTTGAACAGGGCCTCTGCCAGCTCCTGCTTCTCCTTCTGCTGCTTCAGCAGCCTGCAGTGGCTGATTTCCTGCAGCTCCAAGTCCACCTCCTCGTCGCTGGACAGAGACTCCGAGGCCTGAGTCCTCTCGGAGTCGGCCCTCACGAGGCGGGGCCCGGCGCTGGATCTGGAGCTCTCGGACAGGGAGGCGCTGAGGGAATTCCCGCGGCTCGGGGCCTCGCTGTCCTCCTTGCCCACCTCCTGCAGCTCCAGGGAAGGGGAGAAGGAGGAGGTGTTGTCGCTGTCGTGGCCCGTGCTGGTGTCTGCAGACTCGGTGTGCTCGCTGCTGTCCTGCTCGCCCTCCGTGTCCCGGGGAGATCCGGCGTTTTCAGGCTGCTCCGCTTTCAGCTCTGCTGTCTCGGGATCGTTTTCCACCTCTGCCCAAATTGCTTCTCTGTCCACAGTAGTGAACTGGCTCAAAGGAAGGTTTTCCTCAGAATTGCTCTCAGAGATGCCAGACTCTTTCAGAGGGGCCTTTTTCTTGCAAAGCCAATCATGAACATAGCCTGAAAAAATATTTTTTTCATTTAATTAATTTAATTTCCGTTTCACACACATAAAATCACATCACAGTCTGGATTGGAATGGACCTTTAAGCGTCATTTAGTCAACACATCATGCTTTATATTCAATAAATCATTTTAAAAAAAAGTCTATAACGCTACTTTGCTCCAGTTCAGTATTAATTGTAATGAGTGGGGCTAAAGAAACAAGCAAGTATTATTCAGAAGGCAAGAATTAATTCTCTTTCAAAGTGCTTAAAGAACAGTTCTACTATAAAATAACAGGATCAAAACATAAAGCATTGTTAGGCTGAGACTGCCTAGGAGTGAAATTGTCTCTCTTTATGCTTCCTGAACATTAAATATTTGTGGACATCAGGAGGGCAGTGAGAAGGATGGCAACAGAGGGATTGATAAATTAATTAATTAAAGAGCCAATATTTTCCTTACTTAAATGCTGTGGAACAAGGAAGGAACAGATTAGCTCTGTGTTTCATTACAGCCCTGTGGATGCTGTAATGGTGGGACATTCATTTGTCAACTGACACCAAAAAATGATGCTGAAAGCACAGCCTGGTAACAGGCATGGGACAGGTGTCAGGAACTTGCTGAGTATAAAACTGCCAAAGAAATTTCTCCACTTCCTGCTCTGCTCCAGGAAAAAAAAAAAACAAACCTTGGATATTTGGGCCAAATCACAGAACTGTTGAAGTTTCAAGATCAGAGTTCAAACCATCACCCAGAACCAGCCCCATGTTCACCTCTAAGCCCTGGCCCCAAGTGCCACATCCACAGTTTTCAACATTCCAGGGAAGGTGATCCCAGCACTGCCCTGGGCAGCCCCTTCCAATGCTTTACAACCCTTGCCATGAAGAAATGTTTCCAAATATCCACCCTGAGCCTCCCCTGGCCCAGCCTGAGGCCTGAGCTCTCCTTCTGTCCCTGTTCCCTGGCAGCAGAGCCCGACCCCCCCGGCTGTCCCCTCCTGCCAGGGACTTGTGCAGAGCCACAAGGGCCCCCTGAGCCTCCTTTGCTCCAGGCTCAGCCCCTTTCCCAGCTCCCTCAGCCCCTCCTGGGGCTCCAGCCCCTTCCCAGCTCCGTTCCCTGCCCTGGACACGCTCCAGCCCCTCCAGGGCTCTCCTGCACCAGCCACAACTGGAGCCAGCCCTGGAGGGGCCTCTCAGAGCCAGCACAGAGGGACAATCCCTGCCCTGCTCCTGCTGGACACACAATTCCTCACCCAGCCCAGGGGCCAGTGGCCTCTTGCCCACCTGGGCACCCCTGGGCTCGTGTCCAGCCCCTGGCACCGGCACCCCCAGGGCTTTTCCAGCTTTTCCAGCCCCTCTGCCCAGCCTGGAGCTCTGGGGGGTTGTTGTGACCCAAGGTGACAACATGTGAGGGAAACAACGTGGAGACACCAGGGTCAGGGAAGAAGGAGGGGCTCCAGGTGCTGGAGCTGAGATTCCTCTACAGGCTGTGGTGATGACCACGGTGAAGCAGCTGTACCCCTTCAGCCCATGGGATCTTCAGGGGATGCAGAGATCCATCCACAGCAGAGATCTATCCACACAGCCCCTGAGGATCCACCTTGGACACAGAGATCTATCCACACAGCCCCTGAGGATCCACCCTGGACACTGAGATTTACCCACAGCCCCTGGGGATCCACCCTGGACACAGAGATCCATCCATAGCCCATGTCAGGGTGCCCACGCTGGAGCGGTGGATGTCTGGAGGAGGCTGTGGTCCAATGGGAAACATGGTGGAGAGAGAGGGCCTTTGCTTCCAGGCTGCAGCCGCCTGTCCTTGGAGAACTGCACCCCATGGAAAGAGAGACCCACGGCACAGCAGTTTTGGAAGGGACTGTTGGCCCATGGGGAGAATTCACATTCCAGCAGTTTTGTCAAGACTGCTGCTCGTGAGAGTAGAGCCAAGCTGGAGAAGTTCAGAGGGAGCTGTCTCCTGTGGGAGGGACCCCATGGTGCAGCAGGGGAAGGATCCCTCTCCCTGGGCAGTGGAAGAAAATCTCAGTGATGAACTGACCAAAACCCCCATGTGCTGTGACCCTATGCTTTTGGTGGGAAAGAGAGAGGGGCTGGGGAGGCAGAGTTGTTTTTTAAGGGCTTATTTTACTTCTCATTATCCTCTGATGCTGTTAGTAATAAATTCACTTTGCAACTTAAGTTGAGCCTATTTTGCCCTTAAAATATTTCTCCCTGTCCTTACCTCACTCACGAAGCCTTCACTAATTTTTTTTTGCCTTTTTCCTCCTTTGCCCAGCTGTGGCAGGGGAGGGCAAGGAGTGATTCTGGTGTTTGGCCAGCGTCAAAGGACACCCCAGCCGTACCTGGGGAGCTGCTGTGCTCGATGGAGGTGATGGAGGTGATGGAGGTGATGGAGGTGATGGAGGTGATGGAGGTGATGGAGGTGCCCACCCCAGCCATACCTGGGGAGCTGCTGTGCTTGACGAAGGTGATGGAGGTGCGCTGGGTGCGGGGCTGCAGCAGCAGCAGCAGCACAGGCTCCAGGATCCGCGCCACGTCGCTGAGGGACAGCGCCCGGATCAGCCAGCCCTGAGCCGCCGCCCCGATGGCCCCGTCCGAGCAGTTCAGGCTGTCCAGCACCACAAACAGGGACCTGAGGGACAAACCAGCCATGCCTTAGGGTTTTAGCTTTTATAGTTTTCAAATCCTGTACTGTATCAGTGTGTAACTCTAAACTCCTCATAAAGTCTTAGTTACTTAAAGCCTTAAGTTTTAGCATTCATATTTTCCAGGTTCTGAGGAATGCATGAGGATGTAACTGTAAACTTCATATGAAGTGTCAGCAAGTTCTCCTCACAGCTCAGGCAGACACAACAATCCTTTTCCAGCCCCAGAATCAAGGACACCGTTGCAGTTTCAGGCCCCAAAAGTGTGAACAACAGAGAATTGATGGAGCAGTCTGGGAGGGTGGGACTGCATCACCTGAAGCTGTAACTGGACAATTAACCCCAAAAGGGAAATGGACCAAAACTTATAAAAGTGTGAAAACTCCTGACCCATCGTCCATCTTGGGTCCTTCTTGAGTGGAGCCTCAGCCAGGCTCTTGCACTGCTCAAGGTGAATCCTTTTGATAAATCCCTTTATTCCTTTAACTCTGTCCAGCCTCTGTTCCAGGCAGCCTCTCAAGGCATCACTGTCTTCACATTTTGATCAGACAAAACAATCCCTCTAGGCCTGAGATCCAAGGACACCCCACAGCCTCAGGCCCCAAAAAGTACAAACAAAAGTGAATTGTGGGGGAGCAAACTGGGGGTAAATGACTTCATTAGCTGATGACTTCATTAGCTGAAGCTGTAATTGCAGCATTAACCCTGCTATGTAAATGGACCAAACTCAGAATTGTCTGAAAAACTCCTGACCATTTTCCACCTTGGGGGAGCCTCTGTGAGGCTTCTGAGTGCCCAAGGCCTTTAATAAACACCCACTTTATTCTTTAAACCTTGTCTAGCCTCTGCTCTAGGGAGCCACTCCAAGGCACCACCAGCACCAAGGACAGCTGAAATCCCTGGAAAAAGTTAAATTAAGCAATAAAATCCTGGCAGGGAACACACCCAGAGCGTGCTCAAGGAAGCACCAGCCAGCCAATGGCTCAGCTCTGCTCCCAACAGCTTTGGCCAAGCAGCTTTTCCTGGACTGAGTTCAGGAATTGTACAAGCAAGGCTACACAAATCCTCCCCCTTCTTAAGTTCTTTCCCGTTTTTATTTGCTTTCATCTCATTTTATCCCATAGGAAGTAAAACTAAACTAAGGTTTTTATTTTTACAAGGAACTGGTGTCATTTTCTTTGGAAGGTGAATTTAATTTGCTGCAAGATAAAAAAAATATCTGCTCTCCAGAAAAGCTACTCCTCCTTTGTGAAGCTCTTTCTATTTTTACAGCAACTCCCTTCACCCAAAAAAACCACAGCATGCACAAAATGCCCTGCAAAGATTAACTCCAAGGAAGTGCAAAATGTTCCTTTTGTTCATCTTTTTTACTCTCCCTACAGATAACTCCTCCCCCACCTCAGAAAAGAGAACAAAGCATGATACAATTAAATATAAAAATGAAATGGAAGTGGAAATACCTATCAAAGGAACGATTGTGGGAAGTCACTCTGCTGCCTTGGATCTCTCTGGTCAGGTGCCACATGACAGAGAATCTGAACAGAGCTTCCAGCCTTGTCCCCTTGGCAAGGGAAAAAGGGAGATTTAGGGGAGGTTTCCAAGTTGGATGAAAATGGGAACACATTGGTATCCAGGCAGTGGTTATTGGTGGAAAGCTTTAAAGAGGTTTGCAAACTTCTATGTTGCAAAATTGCAAGGACAGAAAAACAATAGCAAAGACTGGTTGAAGTTTTATTGTGCAAAATGTAGTGAAAGCTGTTAAAGTATTATGCTGTCATTATATGAGGGAAGGAAAATAATTAATAACTGGCTCACTTAAAATACAGCTTATTGGGAGACCAAACACTATAAAATCAAGCTAAAATAAAGTGATTTTATAGATATTGGTGGAGCTGGGGCAGTGGGAAATACCAACAAAAACTACAGGATTTGGGCTTGAATTAAAAACTCCAGCTGATATCTAGTGATAGATTTTGTACCCAGGGATTAAATCCAGCACTAATCCCATGCTGAACAAATCCCAGGGAATTGTAAAAGCATGGACAGAGCCTGTCAGACTCTTGGAAAACACAGCAACCACAGGAATGAAGACAGGGAGAAGGGAACAGCAAGAAATTTGGGAAGCACTGGAACAATTCCCCAGTGCTGGAGGGGCTTCAGTGCATCCAGGACTTACTTTATCCCGATCCAGAAGGGCCTGGCAGATGATGTCCTCACAGATATTTGCTGAGGGAGCCAGGCAGTGAAGTCTGTAGAACAATTCCACACAGGCAATGTGATGCTCCCGAGTCTCCTTGTTCAGCTGATTCCAGAGCACACAGGCAACTCTCTAGGGAAAAAGAGCAAACAACTAGATAGAACTCTATTTATAACTGTTTTAATAATAACATTTCTTTCCTGGCTTCCTGTTACCAGAAGGCATTCCCAAATTGCCTCAGAACCCCAGGATTCTATGAATGAAAGGGTCAGTGTAGCTGGGCAGTAAAAAAGGAAAAGGAAATGGACACCTGGTAGAAATCTGTTTTCTCTGAGATCATCTTCAGGACTGCAGGAGCAATGGGAGGAAGGGTGACCATCTGCAGCTTGCCAAGGAAAGGGTTGTGGCCAGACACTTTGTACCTCTTCATCCTGTCCTCAATCACCAGGGCCAGGGACTGGGAGTGGTTGATGACCTCCAGGAGGGTGAAGATGGACACGTTCTGCACGTAGCAGTCGTTGACACAGCAGCAGATTGTCATCAGGGACTTCAGCCACAGAGGGAAGCTGGCATCACCTCCTGCTTGCAAGGGAAGGGACAGAAAGGGCTTGAAACTAAATCCTTTCAGCAAGGTCACAGGACCAAAATGAGTGCCCAGATGCCATCATCAATAGCTCATGGAACCACAGAAGGTTTAGGTTGGAATGGACCTTGAAAATGGCAGGGATGAGGCAGCCACAACCTCTCCTTGTTTTCCCAGCAGAAAGCTCCTGCAGGACCCCAGTACCTACAGGATTTCCCCTTTATGTTTATTCCCAACCATTATTCAGAGCTGCTGTTTTGTTTTCCAGCTGCCATTGTCACAAACAGCTCCAGAGGGCTCAGGATCCATGGATACTCTTCCAGTAGAACTGAGGATTTATGTCATTTCAGGATTTATAAATTGATAACTGAAGTGGCTGACATCAATCCAAGCCATCTTTTCCCGAGGGAACAACAGAAGAATTCCATGTCCATGCCATGCTTAGCCATGGAGATGATGGGAATATTATCAGACAGCAGGAATATGGAGTGAGGGGAGAACAGAAACCAATTTTCCAGTTTCCCACCTCTCCATTCCCCACAAAGCTATTTGTGAGTTAACCTTCAGGCCAATAACAGCTCCTGCTAAAGCTAAGGAATGAACTGGAAATCCAAGAACAGGCCCTCCAGTTATGCAAAATTATTCTTATTTGTTACACTGAACTCCTCTGAATCCTGAGGGTTTGGGAAAAGATTTGATTTTGCCTCTTTTATGGTTTAGAGCTCAAATTTTCCACCTACACCCATCTTCCTCTAAAACATCCTTTTTTTGGGGGCACAACCCATGTTCAGTAGGGATGGGTATCCTGAAAATCCTGAACCATACAAGGCTGTACAGGCCAGGAGATATTTCTATTCTTTCAGCTCCAAAAGTGGAAGTTTTCCAAACAAATTTGAATTTAAAAAACCTGGCAAAAAACTCAGCTGCCAGGCACACCCCAGATGCTGAGGTGGGTGAGGCTTTAATTCACAATTTAGAGTGAAAAAAGGGGTTTTTACTGGCTCTGGTCTTGAAAATAGCCAAGTTTTCAGTGTTTGCATCCAAAAAATGCTCAGGAAAGGAAGTTTTTCTTACCAGGCCCCTGAAACAGGGAGAGGTACAACTGTTCCATCTCCTCCTCGGACAGGTAAACTGGGAATGTGGTGCAGTCCAGCAGCAGGTGACAAGCTGCAGAGAAAGCTTCCTTGCAGTCACCTCTGAGGGGTCCCAACACCAGCTCCAAGTCCCACTCCTCCTCCTCCTTCTCCTTTTTGTGACCAGAGCTGTGCTCAGAGAGGAGAGGAGTGGAATTCTTGCTCCTGAAGGGCGAGCCCCGGGCTGAGAACAGCTCTGAGAGCATTTGTTTCACCTGAGGCACAGTGATTTGCTTGGCATCCCAAGGACTCTTCTTCTTGTTGCCACTCTCAGGGAACCTGTAGCCATTCTCCTTTTTCTCCTTCCCACTCACATTTATCGCTGCAATCCCATCAGGGCTCATTTCTTGGAGCTGCATCCCAAAAATGTATTTGCTGGAAAATTTGGCAACCAGCTCCTGGATGCAATACAGAGTTTTTTGGATGCTCCCTCCTTTTTTCCAGACATCATCTCTCTCCAGGGTCACCGTGGGCACCCCCAGGTGCTGGGACAGCTCTGGGGAGGAGGCACTCAGGCCAATGCCACTGTCCTCTGACTTGAGGGGAGGGAATGGAGCCTCCTCCTCCTCCTGCAGCACAGATTTGGTCTCCAGGGTTATGTCCAAATCTTCCTTTGGCACTGGGCTCTGCAACAGCAATAGGGACGTGCTTAATGTGGCACTGCCAACAGAGATTTAACTCAGAGAACAGCAATGAAAGAAAAAGCAAAAATTCCTGTTGGTGATTCCCAGTTGTTTATAAACAGCTCCATTCATTTCCCTTTAAAAGCCAACTAGGATCTGTATGAACCTCACACACTGACTCATCAAACAGAGGGATGTGTTCCCTTAAAACCAATTTCCCCCCAGAGCAGTGTTCCATCTGCTGCACTGTTTCTGCTCAAATGCAGGTATTTGTTCTGCTGGCAGATTTTGGCAGGCTGTGCTCGTGGGGCTGCTTTTATCCCATTTATTCCTCATTCCTCAGCATGCTCCTTTGCACACCAACAATGCCCCATTGTGTTCCACTGAAATATTAATTGAAAGCCCTGCAGACCTAGCCAGCTGTGAAGCTGGGCTGCATTTGGCAACTCCAGTTTTTAGCTACTGCATCCTGTTTCCAAAACCATTTAGATCCCATCCTTCCCAGGGGCAGAATTATAGCCCCAGGCTGAGACAAGACTAAATCCCTTCAGTGCCCCAGGTAATTCAAACAGGCCAGAACTGAACACCCAGTGAGAGTAACAAGGCAGCAGAATGCCCTGGAAGGGAAGTTTCAAAAAATATTTTTTTTACTTTAAAATTTCATAGAATTATAGGTTTGGGTTGGAAGAGATCTTAGGAATGATCGGGTTGGAAGAGATCTTAGGAATGATCCAGTGCCACTCCTGCCATGGGCAGGGACACCTTCCACTGTCCCAGGTTGCTCCAAGCCCTGTCCAAGCTGGCTTTGGACACTGCCAAGGATGAGACTTCTCTGGGAATTCCATCCCAGCCCCTCCTCATCCTCCCCAATATCCCATTCACCCCTACTCTTTTTCAATTTAAAGCCATTCCCTGTGTCCTGTCCCTCCATCCCTTGGAAATTGTCTCTCTCCATGTTTCCTGTGGCTCCCTTCAGGTGCAATTGTCATCTAGGCTGAAGGAGAATCAACATTTTAAATTCGCATGAGTGAGCTCTGGCAGTCCCAACACTTCCATGTTTTCCAGGAGAGACTGCACCATGTAACTGAGCATCTGGGGCAGGTACTGAGTCTGCACCTCTGAGTAGAGCTCCTGAAATAAATAAGGAATGTTTAAAGGGATTATCCCATCTCATCCATATCAGTTTATCCACTGATAAACCCCACCTTACCAAAGGAATGACATCCAGCAGGAACACCAGCAGTGTGCAGAGCTCTGAGATGGTAGGAGGAGTGCTCACACTTTCCAGAGGATACCTCATCCCTGTGGATTTGTTTCTGGAGTGAAAGAAACATTCTTATGTAAGGGTTTGGCAAAATTCTGGTTACAAGCAAAAAAGCTTCATTAAAATCAGCACAAAATACTGAACAGCTCTGAGGCAAAGGGCTCCTAACACAGCAGGAGAAAATATCCTGTCAAAACAACCTCAGCTCAGTGTGGTATGATGAAGAGCTGATAATATTCAGATTGCAGAATCTTCTTAGAGTTAGAAAATGATAAAATGAGAGATGTCATCGAATAGAGGGTTGAAGAGAGACCTTAAAGCCCATTTAGTATCTTTATTTTTCTTCTATAAAGACCTTTCCACTTTCCCTCCCAACCCTTTTTCCTTCCTCTGTTGAACTGAAAGGAATTTCTTTTGTTCCCAGGTTGAAATTTCCATCTAATTATTTACCTGGTTGCATTCCTGAATTATTTGTGGACACAACTTACAGATCTGGCTGGCTCTACCATGTGTGATGTCCCTTAAAAGCTTCAGTAAATATTATCCTGAACAGACAGCTCTGAAGTGGCATTTTTGAGAGCACAACATAAACACCTGAAACAATCTTCAAAGCATTTGGTCAGGTAATCCCAGAGGAAATCAGTGCTTAAGGATGTGATCAACAAATTCACTGTTTTGACAATTTCTGAAGCATTTTTGTTCTCTTTGATTGCACTGGAAGGGAAAGAAGAGGAAAAAAAAAGCAGATGTCAGTGAGGATTCACATCACGTGAGCTGATGGACTCTAAAATCTCTTTTTCCCTTTATCTACAAGCTAAAAAATGTTGATTTTTTTTTTTTAAATCAAAGACTAAATCATTCTGGAATAGCAGGAGCATCTTTCAGATGATGGAAATCACAAAGCTGAGCTCTGTCAGCAGCCTGATGTCACCGTGGTTACTCCACACCCATCACATGCAGCAAACTTCATTTTTATTCCCTGCTAATCCAAGAGAAATTCACTGTGTGTGGAGAAAGGCAAAGAAAAACCTCATCCTCTGTCCAGAAAGTCACTTTGTTAGAAACCAAAACTTCATTAAACTCCTTGTTTTAATCACTTAGCTTTAAAGAAACGAACCAGTTTCAGCTCAGAGTTGGGAATCTGTCATACCTTGCCAGGATGTTGCCACTTTGATTGTAGCTGAGTTTGAGATCAGAACCCAGGGTGTCTTTGCAGTAGGAATAAAAAGCTCTAAGAACTTCCAGGAACAGATCCCCAACAACCTGTGGCCCTGCAAGGAAAGGGAAAAAAGAATCCAGGAGTTGTCTACAGAAGAAGGGAAGAAATAATAATTTTGGTGGCCTAAACTTGGAATAATTAAAAAAAAAAAAAAAAAAAAAGTATTTTTAGTTTTAACTCATTGCAATAAGCACTTTTAAAAATGAAAATATAAAAGTTTAAGTGACTAAGAATAGCAGAAAAGGTCAAAGCTTGTTATGTTTGATACCTTTAAATAATTGTTGCATTGTTAAATCCATTTCTAAAGGGAGTGAAAGTCTTAATGACTCAAGGCTCAAGGAATCCAACTTTGTGTGCTGACTGGAAAGATTAAACTGGATAATGTAGTTGAGCTAAATATCCCTGATTTAAAAGGGATTTATTATCCCTTTATATGTACTTTGGATTAATGCAGATTGTCAGGCAGCCAACCAACACATCCAGTAGGGCAATGTCTCTCCTTTACTTTCTGAATCAGATTAATCAATACATTTATAATGGAAACAACCTCTTTGGCAGCATCACTTCCCAACCAAAACATTTTAAAAATTCTGTCAAGTCAGTTTGGTTTAATTCTTTAGTGCAGAAAGGTGAATTTGCCCTTGAAACAAGGATGGGCAGAACCTCATCCTTCTGGTGCTGCACGGACACAGCAGGACAGGCACGGGAGAGGGAAGATAAACTCCAAGGATTATTCCAGCAGATAAACTCCAAGGAGCAGGAGGAACACTGACACAAGGGTGGAAGTGTTTCTTTCTAAGTGTCCCTCAGATGCCAGCACAAGGTACACAGTCCCAGGATCAGCAAGGTGGGAAGAGCCCTGCAGGGTCATCCAGAGCCACCCCAGCCCCACCAGCATCACTGTGGTGGTTTGACATTAACTGACATTTAAAGAAGCCTGAGGCTGTAGTGTGTGGCCTCCAAGCTCCCCAAAGTGGAGAATTTGTTCCCACAAAAGCTTGGGGTGCCTCAATCTAAACCACTACAATCACCCCCAAACCCTGTCCCCACATCCAGACTCCTCTGGACAATTCCAGGGACTCCAAACCTCCCTGGGCAGCTCATCCCAATGAGCTCATCTCATGGCTCTTCCAGGGAAATTTTCTTTCCCAATCTCCAACCTGAGCCTCCCCTGGTGCCATTTGAGGACATTTCCTCTCCTCCTTTCCCTTGGGACACAGCAGCAGAGCCACAAGGGCCCCCTGAGCCTCCTTTGCTCCAGGCTCAGCCCCTTTCCCAGCTCCCTCAGCCCCTCCTGGGGCTCCAGCCCCTTCCCAGCTCCGTTCCCTGCCCTGGACACGCTCCAGCCCCTCCAGGGCTCTCCTGCACCAGCCACAACTGGAGCCAGCCCTCGAGGGGCCTCTCAGAGCCAGCACAGAGGGACAATCCCTGCCCTGCTCCTGCTGGACACACAATTCCTCACCCAGCCCAGGGGCCAGTGGCCTCTTGTCCACCTGGGCACCCCTGGGCTCGTGTCCAGCCCCTGGCACCAGCACCCCCAGGGCCTTTTCCTGCTCTCAGGACACTCTGTCCCCAGCCTGTAGGGTTGGGGTTGGCACAGCCCCCAGGCTGGGCTGTGCTGACCCTCCAGGAGGGCACAGATTTGCATTTCCCTCCCTGGGATCCATCCATGCTCTGCAGGGCTCTGTGGGACAGCCAGAGGGAACCTGGAGAGGGAATTTGTTCCAGAGCAGGGCCACTGCAAGGAGCAGCCTCCTGCACACTCCCACACAACAGAGTCAGGATTAGGACTGTGCTGGGTTCTGTTAAATCCTACTGAGATTTGGGACAAAGACTTTACCTATTTCAGGTTTGTCCAGGAGGCTGATGAGGATCCGGAAGGGTTTGAGATAAGCCTGGTGCTGTTCCTCTGGGTCAGACTCCGGGAATTTCTGGTGCAGAATCACAATCAAGCTCTAGGAAAAGGAAAACATCACAATGTTACCCATCAGAGACAGATTGTCATCTCATTAAAGGCTGAAGTGTTCCTATATTTGATTTTGTTTAGGGCTGACTACAAATGAACTCAAATTTTCCATCCAGGGTAAACAAATCAATTCCATCTTCCCAGCATCTCTACTCAAGGGCTGATCTTGTCCAGAGAAACACTTTTAAATAATTCAGGTAGTTCAGCCAAGATGCTTCCCTTTGGTTTCCCTAAGATTCCATAAGCTATCCAATATTGGGATAAATGCAGCACAGAGGCTTTGGGATAGATGGAAATGTAACCACAGGAACAGGGAGGGAGGGACAAACCAATAATTAGGAATAATTCTGGACACAGTTTGAGCTAAAATGTAAAGGATCATGCATTTATCTGGAATATATCTGTACAAAATGAACACCAACCTCAACCAAAAGATCTTTAGAGTATTTTCCAAAGAAATACACAGCATGCTCTTCAGAAGTGGTGGAGTCTGGAGCAAAAGTGCCACCTTTAATATCAGAGCCTGCAAGAAAACAGAGGCAGGAGGAGCTCAGAGAGCAGCACAGAGCACTGAGGGGTTTCTACTGAATTCACACTGCATTTTTCATCTTTGGCATTTCAACAACCCACAGGTCCCAGTCTCAGGGCATCCAGATGTTCAGCACATCACATCAACCAAAACCAAGGACAAATGCAGTGGGAATCACTATTTCTTCCAGAAAAATAAGGTTAAAACAGTAACTTTTAGTCCTTTTAGTCCACTGAACCACTTCACAACAAGCTGTGGGTGGAACCAGCACCTATCAGTTACCCTGGGATTCAGAGAGAAATAAATTCACCTCTGTTTGCCAAAAGTTTCATTGTATTAAGGCACTTCATAAATAGCAAATAAACACCACTTTATCTAAAGTAGCTCCAGCTAAATAAGTGTATTTCAACTTTAAACACTGATCTTTATTATTTTTTTTTTGCTCTCAAGCATCCAGAACATTGAAAATCCATGGATTTTGCACAGTACCTAGCAGCCATGCATACAATCTCCTGTTGAGGGACATGTCTCTCCTCAGCAGTGTCTGAGTGGCTGCTGACAGGATATAAACCAGATCAGCCCTTCTCAACAGGATGGTGCTTTCCTTGCTGTCCTAGGGTGGAAAAGAAAGATTTAAAGAAAGATTTTTCAGCTGTTGGTAAGCACTGAAAGGAGTCAAATTGGTGATGGGTTGGGTTTTTGAAATGGGAATATTCATGTTTTGGGGAAAAGGTAACAAAGCATCAACAGGAAAATGGGTTGTGTGATAAAAATGTCAAAGGATGTGACACAATCTCAAGGGATCTGAGAAAAGTGGGATCATGGAGTCACAGGATGGGAGAGACCTTAAAGATCCTGTTCCACCCCAGCCATGGCAGGGTTTTTTCCCCAATATCCCACCTAACCCTACAGTCTTTTGGTTTGAAGCCATTCCGTGTGTCCTGGCCCTGCAGCCCTTGGCAATTGTCTCTCTCCAGCTTTCCTGGGGCTCATTCAGGCCCTGCAAGGCCACCCTGAGCTCAGCCCAAAGCCTCTCCTCTCCTTAAGACTTAAAAATCCTTCCTCCACCCTAAACACTGCCTGTCCTACAGGGAGGTGAGGAAACAATGGGAACAACTTTTGTTTCAAGGAGGATTTTCTTCCCTGGTCTTTACCAGAAATAACTTCATGTGGACAGTTCTAAAATCCTACTTGAATAAACTCCGTATTTTTTTCATATGAGCTGCCAAGAGCTGAATACTTCAAGCACATCCCAAACATCCCCCAAACGCTCCTGTGAGATCATTTCTTCAGCCTTGGAAGCTGTAAAGACTCTGAGAAACAGCAGAGTCTCCTGCCCTCCTTTGTGGGGCACAAAATTGATGGGGTAAATTGATGTGGCACAAGAAAGCCCAAAATTCACAGATTTAAAGGTTCAAAATTCAGCCATTTGGCAATAACAGAGGTGGGAGCTGGGCTGCTTGCACAGAACACACCTTCCATGGGAAAATCCCATAATAATCCCCTTACCAAAGCTGTATAAAATGGGAAAAAGAAGAGGATTGCTTCCAGAGTGTTCCTCTGCACAAGGACATTTGAATCCAGCACTGACACACACAAAGACTTTATCTGGAAAAGGAAAACACAATATTTTATTTGATTTTGCTACCAAATGGGAGGGAAAATAAGGAAAATTGGCTACCTATGCACAATATTTTGTTTAAATAAGAGAATAATTACAATTTAACTCCTGCACCCAAATAAGTTCAAACTAATTTTTTGTGGCTATTAAAAGAATTGTTAATATTGGGTTTGTAAGAGCACAGAATGTCCCAGAGTTACAAGATGTAAAACCTCCCAAAATGCAGACATTAACTTAATTAGCCTTACACTTATTCCATCACTCAACACAAATTACTCCCCACAGAAGATCTCCATTTAACTGGAAAAATAAAAAGACACAAAATTTCAGAGCAGCAAACACTTTGGGAACTGCACATTAAACACTGAAACCAGAAAAGCTGCTCTTCAAATTAAATGGATGAAGCAATTTCAGAGCACAGACCTTTCAGTCTCTCCTCTGAAAATATTTTTAATTGCATGCCATCCTAATTTAATCCAGAGAAAGGGTTTATGGGGTGGAAAAATGAACTTACTGTGAGTTTGTAATCAGTGCCAAGCATGAATTTCTGCTGTTTGCCAGAGAGTTCCCTGTTGATGTGGCTGACAACGAAGAGGGAAGCAGGGAGCCTGATGGAGGGGCTGCCCAGGACACTGCCCCAAAGAGCTCCATAAAACACCTCCTGGCCCATCAGCAGGGACAGCTTCACCAGCAGAGCATCTGTTCTGCACACACACACAGAAAAAAAACCTTTGCTGGCTGATTTATACCACAGAAATGGAATTATATAGAGCTGACGTAGTTTATTTGATGTTTTGCAGCTTTGTGGTATCAGGATTCCCCTTTATCACAGAATCTCGGGATGGTTTGGGTTGGAAGGGACTTTAAAAAATCACCTTATTCCACCCCCTGCTATGGGCAGGGAACTTTCCCCTATCCCAGCTGGTGATGGATGAATCTCATTTTACAAAAATAATCAAACCCACTCAATTCTTTGTCACTAAAACAAAGTCTCTGTTCACACACTGGAAAATTCTCCAGGAAATAATTGCAAATATTTAGCTCTGGCCAAACAACTGCAGCACCTCTGACTGCAGAATGTTTATTGTCAGAGGTGTGAAAAGATAAATTTGAAGTCTTTTAAGCAGATGCTGAAGTCTGAAAGCCAATTTTATCCAGTCTGGCAGCTGGAGGTTATCCTAAAAACTACTACTTTCAAACCAACAGGGTTAATTTTTAAGGCACTGGATGAAGAAAAAGAAGAGATGAAATCCCCTGGATCCCTGAAGTGTCCCAGGCCAGGCTGGAAAGGACTTGGAGCAGCCTGGGACAGTGGGAGGTGTCCCTGCCATGGCAGGGCTGGGCTTTAAGGTCCCTTCCAAGCCCAAACCATTCTGGGATTCCATGAGATAAAACAACAAATTGCACACAGGACCCCTTGAAATGAATTCCAGCCCATCCCACTGCAAATCCTGTGATTGGAGCACATTCCCTGCTAAATAACATCTGGTTATTTACCATAAAGGAGGAAATCAAACCTCATGAGAGGAATGCAAGATTGAGAGAAGAGGAAAAAGCCCAGCTCAGAAGAGGAAACACCTCCCAGTGTGATGTTCTTTTCTATTTCTTTATTAAAAAAAATCCCTCCAAGCAGTTTTCCTTTTCCATTTTCTGTGTGAGTGCACAAAGGCAGGGAAATTCAGTGCTGGAAATGGTGTCTAGGCTGAAGCACAAGCTCAGCACTTTGTTCACTTTCAGGAACAGCAGGAGATGGATTAATTTTAGTCCTCAATATTGAAGGTTCTGAAAACACTCAGTGAAGAGCTTCTCATGGAAAAAGAATTGAAAATTAACCTAACACATCTCATGATGAGATATTCTTACCACAGAATCCTTGCAAGGAGTAAATAAAAGAAAAACTCCCTCATGTAAATTCAACAAAAAACCTCATTAAATTAGTTTTAACACAAATATTTCCCCAGATTTATGAAATATATGTCAGCTCCTGTCAGATCCTGTTTGTTCAAGGCAAAGAGGAAAATAATGCCATCAGAAATAGGGAAAAAAAGGTGTAAAACAAGAGGTCAGATCTTGGAAGTTCATCTGCAGTTCCCATTATCTCCCTGCTCCATGATTTTGTCAGATTATACAGAAATATTGGAAAGAAATCAGCTGCTCTCTCATGTAACAGAATTTAAAGAGAATTTATCTCCAGAGCAGTGGTCAGGGGAGTCAAGGGAACTATTTAGGAGGAGCTAAATTAGAGGAGCTTTAAATTAAAAAAAAACAAAAAAACCAAAAAAAATTAAATTAAATTGAATTTAAAAATGTAATTTATTTTCTTTTATTCTTTTCTCTCAGCATTTCTACGTTTAACCATCCTTTTCCTCATCTCTTTTTTTTTAACTCTCCTTTTCCTCTTCTCTTCTCTTGGGATGAAGACAGAGGGGAAAAGGTTTTTCTTCTTCAACATCTTTCCAGTTCCCACAATTCATCCCCTTTTAGAAGCTCTTTTATTTATAGAAATCTGACAGAAACTTCTTGAGAATTCCCTAGAAAATCCAAATCCTGGCTATTGTTTCAATGAATATGGAATAATTAATATTACCTGTCATAAATTTCTGATCCTTCTTCCAAGCCAGGCAGCAGCCCAATGACAAAGGCCTGGAGACCAGGCAGGAGGGATTTTTGGAGAGGGAGAAAATATTTCTCATACAAGCCAAGAAGAACAGGTCTCACTGACATTGCTGCATTTGCCAGCAGAGGGAACAAGCCAGAGCTTTGAATAAAAAAAATAAAAAATAAAAAAAAAAAGACAAAAGAAGAGTTAATTAAAATAGATTTGAAATGGTTATGCCTTAAAAAAAAAAATTAAAATTGCCTGTACAAAAATAAATCCTTGGTAAGCTGTTTTGTGCCTTAGAGAAAAAATATAAATAAATCCAATTACCTGTACAAGAATAAATCCTTGGCAAGCCATTTTGTGCCAATGATTTTGAAGATTATTTCATAGGTTTCTAAAGCCTTTAAATGCACCCCACTGGGCAGGGCTGGGTGCAAGCACTGGGATAATCTTTTACTGATGATCAATCTTCTGGGCAGCAGAGAATATTTCAGGTTACTCTGAAGAGCCTGGGGGAGAAAGGAGAGAAGAAATAGTTATAATGTGAAATATCAAATATCTCATGGCTGTTTATTAAAGGTTGAGAAGAGTTTTAACTCCTAACTGTATTTAGTTCCAGCAGAACTCTGCAGCTGAGCTTTTATCTGGGATCAGCCACGGGAAATTTAGAAAAGCTTGCTCTGAGTCTGCTCTGATGAGGGAAAAGGAAGTCAAAAACCAGGATTGGGACAGGGTATCCTTATCTCATCACCAGAGGAAAAAGGGAATTGACAAGAAAAGCAGCTCAGCTTCTAGGGAATAAAGAAAGAATTAAAGATTTATCTTTTTGGACACTTCCAGGCATGAGGAAAACCTGTGGACTTTCCAAACCAAACCTTCCAGCCAAAGCAGAGATGATTAAATGGGACAAAACCTTCTGATCTGGAATTCTCTGTGGAATTCACTGAGCTGAGGAACCCGCTGCAATCAGGTGCAAGTTCAAGATGTTTAGGACAGGGAATACTTCAATGAGATTTGCTGCTGGGCCAGGTTTTAGGAAAAAAATGTGCCTCCTTTCTTGGGAAAGGTGACTCTTTTCCTTGAGCCACCAGAGCATTTCAGCAGGAAAATAATGAAGTTTTCTCTTCAAATCAGAGACAAAAAGAAAATTTGCCAGCCAAGGGCACTTCAGGCTTTGCTTAATGTGCAAACACAAACATGTTCCAGGGAATGTGAACATTTGGGATATTTTCAGGATCAGGTAAATTCTGGTCTCTTCCCAAAATTAAATCATGGTCTCATCCTATGGAATTATTTTCAGCTTGAGGCTCTTCTATTTTGCTTGGAAAAGCAGCAGAAAGTGGAATAACCCTTCCTGGAATAAACATAAAGCAGGTCACTTAACCCTGAGCACTCCTCAGCAGGAAGGGGAGGAAGAAAATCCACAGCTTTTAGTAAGAGCAGCTGGCAGGAATTTTACTGGAGAAGGAAAAAAAAACCAAAAGGTTGAGAGTTTATAACAACAGCAAACAGAAATGTCACCCCATCCTGGCAGACACACAGATGTCACTTAGAGCCACTTCATTTCCTTCCTTCCCTCCCCCAGCATGGGCAGAGCTGTGTTTAATGGATGAAAAAAAAACCCCAAAATCCAAAAAGAAAATATTATTTCACATATTTGTGCAGTTACCTTCTTTACACCTTTTATATTTGAGCCATTCCCCCATGTGTTACATGAGGAATATTATTTCAACATTAAAAATCTGAAGAGCTGTAAGAACTTTGAAGATTTCTGGAAAGCTGGACTTTGAAACTTTCTATTTATATTACTTGGCATGTATTTGCCCACACCCTCTCTGTATATTTATAGATATAAAAGGAGTTAATTACAAAAAAGCAGAGCAGTGGTAATTGTTTTCCCTCTCAGTGTTCAGACTGAACAAATACCATCTTAATATTCCAACAATTTGAATTTAAATATCAGAAAATGGAAACCTTTTTTAATTAAATTTCACTGTTTATTAAGCATCAATAATGTTTAATGAATTATAATATTAATTATTTTTTTAATTAAATTTTGCTATTTATTACACAGAAAATCAGCTCCAGCACAGAAATAATGGCACCTCAGCAAATCTCTGCTTTGGCTCCAACATTTCTAAAGGATTTGAAGGAAATAAGAACTCCCTTCCCCAAACACCATTTGAATATTTAAAATCATGGAATGGTTTGGAAGGGAATTTAAAGATCCAGGGATGGGCAGGGACATCTTCCACTATCCCAGGGTGCTCCAAACCCCATCCAAAATACCCTTGGACACTTCCAGGGATCCACAGCTGTGCCAGGTCCTCCCCAGCCAGGAATTCCCTCCCAATACCCCATTTATTAAAAATTCCCAGTTGTTCCTGATCTCCCAGCAAATCCAGGGATTTTAAACCCCATTCCAACATTTCAGAAGGCTCTAAAGAGCCCTCCCAGCTGCTGCTGCTGTGCTGGAAGGTTCAGGCTCTTCCCAGCTTCCCCAGAATTGCAGATCCAAGGATTTTAAAAGGTTTGAAAGGCATTAATTAGCAGAGGGATCTCACTGAAATAAGAGTGAGTAGCAGAGGGATCTCACTGAAATAAGAGTGAGGTGGTAAGAGACAGATTTTGAAATGTTAATTAATCTCCTCCAGCTGACAGGCAAAGTCGAGAAGTTGGATTTTTAAATATCCTGAGCTTCCACAAGAGAAAAAAAGAACAAAGAATCAGGATCTAGGAATGCTGGAATGATAACTTTGGCTGGTAGAGGTGAATAAATTCAGGATCCCATCCCACACCTGTTTTTCCAACACTAAGGATGCTCAGAATTTCTCTGAAATCGAGCTATAAAAATACAGAATTGTCTACAAAAGGAAAATTGTTATTTTTTCCACCTGTGCCTTAAAATTAAACCACAGGCACAGGAAAATATTTGCATTTCCTCAGTTCCTGGTTTAATTTCTTCTGCACTAGAAATCTGTTAAAAATAATGATAAAACTTTATGCAAATCAAGTAAAAAATTTTATTTCCATCACTAGAATTCCAGGAAAAGGCTGCAATTTTTTAAGATTATCTTCAGTTAGGAAATACCATAATTCTTGTTTAAACAACAATGGTTGTGAGGAGAGGGGGAGAAGAAGAACCTGTGATTCTATTTTCCACTGATTCATTTTCCAAGTAAAGAAAAAATTCCAAGCAGAGCTTCAGCTTCCATAGAAATACCATGAACAGAATTAATTTTAAAGTAGGAGAATTAATTTTAAAATTGATTGTAAGGAAAGTAGCAGCTGGAGTTGTATTAAAAAAGTGGGGGGGAAGGTGTATAAAATCCCCAATCCTGAGGATTTGTCCATTGGGTTTGGGGAAAAAAATAAAGGAACTTCTCAAAAGTATAAATAAGATTTGTCTTCAGCATAAATCTGTAACTGAGCCAGCAGCTGGTATAAAACCCTGAATGTCTGAGTTTTCCTATGAAGCAAGTGCTTAATTAATGGCTGCACTCATTAAATCACTTTTCAGAAGAATCCTCCTCGGCTCTCCCTCAAGAACAGCCAGATTGGGACACTGAGCATTGCTGTTCAAACCATGAATGTGCAGCTGCAAGGAGTTTTGGGGTTTGTTTTCCTTTCCCCTCCAAGGATTTGGGTGAGATCAGGTCCACCTCAAAGCTTCTGAGGCAAGAAAAGCCTTCAGAACCAAAAAGTCACAGATTTATTTCCTGGGGTTTTTTTTAATTGCTTTGAAATTGCAGAGTAAAGATTAACTCAGATTCACAGAGTTGTGTTATATCCAAGAATAAAAAGCAGTTTGAAAGTGCTCTTTTAGAGCAAATAATATTAAAATTCCTGAATGGATTGGGCTGGAAAAGACCTTAAAGATCATTTTGTTCCAACCTTTGGCATGGCAGGGACACCTTCAATGTCCCAGGCTGCTCCAAGCTCATCCACGCTGGTCTTAGGCACTTCTAGGAATCCAGGAGCAGCCACAGCAGCTCTGGAAATTCTGTGCAGGAATTGGGAATTCTCACCACCACAAATTCCAAGGATTTTTTAAAACCACTCCTTTCCTTGTTTCCTTACGAAACCAAAATCCAATATTTTCTGCTCCTCAGTTCTTCATTTTGCCAATTGTGTCATTTAATTATTAATTCCCTACACCCAGAGTTGAAATTGATGGAAAACACACGCCTGTAATCTGGATAAATGCTAACTGTGCATTTGGATTTTCCTACCTTCAGAATATTTTTATCCTCTTAATTGCCTGAAGTTCCCCATACCTAAACATTTTAGATATATTTGCCATTTGTTTATACTCTGGAAACAGTGACAGGCATTTTGGATATATAAACAATGTTAAAAGCACCTGTTTCATTGACAAACCCATCTATTCTGAATCACCAGCTATTTTTAAGTTTAAGAGGCAACATCCCTCCACCCCAGCAGCTTTTTTATCAAAATATGAAAGTGATTTCTCACTGAAAATAAAGCTGAATCCTCTTTAAAACATTGACATCTATATTTACTGCCTGTTTTATCCACCTGTTTACATCTGTCTATTTACATTCTTATTAGAAATATTACTTTCCAACGTTTCTCATTTCCCATAATGATCTATTGTACCCACATTATCCAAAATAACTCCCCAAGATCTCTCCCTTAGAAGTTTGGGGTGTAAAATAAATGAGCAAATTCTGCCAATTCTCTCATGCTCTCACCTGCTACCTGCAGGTTTTGAACTCTGAAGGGGAGATTCATCTCTCCTGACCTCAGAAACCAAAAAAAAACAGCCAAAAAAAATGGGTAAAAGTGCAGTAACTCCTCAGGCTCCTCATAAAACCCACGAGGAACACACACAATTTTAGGACAACATTCCTCTGACCTACTTCAAGCAAGAGATGAGTCACAAAACAAAAAAATAAACCCCTTTATTCCTCTGCCTGTCTAAAAGCAATTCAAGGTGAAGCTGTCTGGGCTGAAGTTGTGTCAAGTCACATAAAGCTCACCTCCCTTAAATGATAAAATCAAATCTCTGCAGATCCACAAACCGAGCATTCAGATGTTGCTTCCCTGGTTCTGAAAGTCCAGAAATATTATTTTGAGCTGTAGAAACAACAGAGAAACTCAAAAACAACTTCCAGTCTGTCCTGAGTAGAATCATTGAGGCTGGAAGAGATTTTAAGAATATCAAGGAGCCACAGAGAAGCAGCAGAGTTGTTCCTTTTCACCAAGCTCCATTTTTTATCCTCATTTTTAAGGAACAAGAGCCTATCCTGCTTTTTCCCGACCTTGGATTACCTGGAGGGTGACACCTCTGAGCTTTATGGAAATAAGAGAGTGTTTGTGTCTCAATAGAGCCTGTAGGAGAAAAAGCCTCAAAAAATATTACACCCATATGGGCAAGAACAGATTTCACACTGCTCTGGAAAAGAACTTCAGAACTCCTTGATTTCTTGTGTTTTGTCCTTCCCTTTCTCAGCATTTTCGTGTGTGATTGATCTCAGTTACCTCTGCACACAAGTGACCCCCAGGATCTTTAATATAACCAGGAGTGGTTTGTAAAAACCATTTTATCACTGTTCTCCTTCCTGCTCACCCACCTCCACCACTGACTGCAGGAAAAATGAGGATTTTCTGTCAGAACCACCTCCCCCAACCCTGGTAAAACTCAACAATTATATTTCTATTTGAAGCTGTCAGAGACCAAGCAATCCCAGGAGTTCAGGGAATGGTTACTGACATCTTATTTTCCTTTTGGCAGCACCTTCCCCTGCCACATCCACCCCGATTTTCAGAGAACAGACAGGGATCAACACTGGGAATGATTTACTCCACCAATTCTTAAGCTCCTAAAAAGATTAAATCCATAAAACCCCAAAGCAGATGGACTACTGGATCAGCTGAAAGCTTTTCCTTTGGTTTCTGCTCTGCTGCCACAGATTTTGGCAATTCTATACCTGAATAAGGCTCAGGTGTGTGCTCAGCAGTTCAGTGTTCATCTAGGTCAAGATAAAAAGATCAAAGCCTACCTCTCACTCTCATTATTTCATATTTTCCCTTTGAGAAGAACATTTTGAAGGCCTCTGATGAGAGCCAGATTCACAATGAAAAGGCAGAAACGTGGAACTTCTGTTCCAAAACAATATTTCAAATTTCCCCAAATCCAAGGGGAGGGCACAGCCAAGTCAATGTGACCTTTAAATAAAAGCTTTGACTCAGAAAATATTCTAAAACTTGTCACTTTCTGTTTTCTAGAAAAGCTTTTTACCTGCTTTAGAGTGAGGGTTTCTTTGATGCAAAAATTAAATTAACTTAGCAGTGTTAAGACAGCAGTACCATTTGCAGGAAAGCTCTGCTGGTTTCACCAGAATTTCTCACATTTATATAAAAAAATACTGACTTAGCTCTTCCCATTATTTTTCTTGAGTGAATTTTCAATTTTTCCAGATGCTGGAAGTGACAGAAAAGTTCATAACAATACAAATGTCATCAAAAAAAAAAAAGATAAAAATTCCCCTCACACTGTACCTTATTGAGTTTGCCAAGGGAAGAGATCAGATCTGCCCATTCACTGGATGATTCAAAGTTCCTCAAAGCTTTCTCAATGGCTGAAGAATAATTCCTGTATCTGTAATCTCCAAGTAAATCCTGTTCTTCTGGATCCATCTTGGCTTCTCATAGCAAGGTGGAACCTCCTGGTAAACTGAAACATGCTAAGAGTTACAAAAATCCCCCAGATTTCAGCTCTGCCACACCTGAGATAATAAATACGGAGAAGCACTGACAGCTCAATAAACAGGTCACAGGATCAAAATTTCAAAACAAAACTAAAAATAATTCCCTGACAAAACAATTTGACTTCCCACTGCCTCTTCCAAAAGATTTTCAGTTGCTTTTTCCTCTTTCTGGACCGTGTTTTTCACTTCCACGCACGTGGATATCACAATTTGAGGATTCCAGAGTTTCCCTCCAAGCACTGACAGGGAGTTGGAATTGCCTTCATCCCCTGTGCTCTGCAAGGTCACCTGGAGCATGGAATGGGAAATATTCCCTTTCCAGAGGAATCCTGCTCAAGGGCTCTCAGCCTGCAGCAGAAGGAGCTCTCAGAGCTCTGCAGCTCAACTCGGCAGCAGCAGATGCTCGAGTCCAAGTCCAAGGTGTTGTGCCAAAATGCCAAGCCATGCATTATAATCTTCCCTGTATTTCAACAAAACATAACCATCTATTTTTATGTTTTAAAATCAGCTGTTCAGACCTGATTTTCCTGTGTTTTGCAAGGCATTTAGGTTAAAAACTCAAATACACCTGATTTAGAACAATGGAGTCCAAGCATGGCTGGATTTTCCCTATTTAAAAATCCTTCCTTCTCTCCTTTGCTACCTCTGACACCAGTTCTGTTAGAAAACATTAAAATATTCTTCTAGAATAGTTTAAATATGCTTAGGTCAATCCCTGCTGCATCACTGATACAGAAATCACAGCTCTGTAACAAAATATTTTACATTTCTGAAGGGCATCTGCATTCAATCTCCTGCTGTTAGGACACAAAAATAAACCCAAACCATCCTCCATGTCCTTTCAAACATTAAATATGTTGTAATAAACAACTTTAACTCCATCAATAGAAGGGTTTTGGTAGGAAACTCTTAAAAACAGAAAAATGCTGGATGAAATGAAAAAACAGGAAGGATTTTAAGTGCAGGTTTAAGGCATCTTTGCACTCCCCTGAGCAGGATTGAGGAATTGCCAATAAAACCACTCTGTGCCAGATCCACCTCCATGGAAAAAAATAAAATTATCACACAATGCCATCAGGGTCAGATTGGTTTGGTTTGTTTGGCTACAGAGAGGATTTAATTTTGTCTTTATCAGGATGTTTGCAGTGCTTCTCACATCAGAACTGAAATCAGGGAATAACATTTATCTGGGATCAAGCTCTCCTTGTTCCAAAAAAAAAAAAAAAAAAAAGAAAGAAACAAAGTCAATCCTCCCATAAAACCCAACAAAGTGGAAAAGCTGCAAGATACTGTCAGCAAAAATTAGGAGTAATCTGATACAAACACTGGGCAAGAAATGGAAGCCTATTTCCCTCATCTCATCTAAAGATCTTAAATACGGGATTGTTTCTACTCCTGAGAACAAAGCAGGAGCTGGGAAGTTTTTCCAGCAGCTCTCTGCCAAGGGCTGCTGCCAATTCCATGAGGAAGAGATTTGTCTGGATCACTCAGAATCAGGCAGCTGGTTTGCTGACAGGACACATCAGCTCTCAAGCTATTTAATTCGGATTTTTGCAGTGAAAAGACAGGTAAATAGTTGATTTCCACCCAGGAAAGCAGGGATGGAAGTCGTGATTTAGTGTGGATTGATATTCCTGCACCTCAGCTGCCAGAAGTCAGCAAGGTTTGATAAAATTCGATAATCTAAATAATAATTAAAAAACTGTACAAAACCCAGTGACCTTTAGGCACGTAACCAAAATCCCAGGTCACAAATTTCCTTGGTAAATCCTGATGTAAATAATTATTCAGCTTCCACCACTGATGGTGCCAGGCTCTTTTCAGTGGTCAGGACGAGGAGCAATGGCCATAAATTAAAACAAGAAATTCCACCTCAACATAAGGAAGAGCTTTCCATGGAGGTGGCGGAGCACTGGAACAGCTGCCCAGGGAGAATCATGGAATATGCCGAGTTGGGGAAGATCCATCAGGATCATCCAGTCCGAGCTCTGTCCCTGCACAATCCCCCAACAATTCCAATCCCCGGAGCTCGGGGCCGTGCCCGTTCCTTGGGAATGCTCCTGTCTGGAGCCATTCCAAACCCACCTGGACACCCTCCTGTCGCTGCTCCAGGGGAGGGTGATCCCCTTCCAAACCCTGCCATTATGGGATCCCGGCATCGTGTTCTGGGCCAGCGCTGCCCCCTCAGCCGGGTCCCCTCCCGTCCCGTCCCGTTCCCTCCCCGCCACCGCGTACCTGCGCAGGGCCCC